TTTCCTTTCGTGAACTCTAAGAGATAAAATCAAATTCTAGATAGTTTTCACCATTCAAATTGTGTGGAAAAGAATATGGACCTATAAAAAATATGCCCACTGTACCTGCCAGCATGTTTACATTAAATTTCCATTGGAAGGAAGTTTGTTTCTTCATATACAGTGTGTCCCACTTACCATGCTCACCATGGGTATCTTTTTAACGGTGAGAGATACAAGGTCGGTTTAATGACACCAAATGTGTAGTTTGTCAAGACCAACTATAATGTGAAAAATATTTTGATAAAATCTATTCGTTTTTGTTTTATTGGCAAAAAAACAAATTCTGATCATTTCCATGTCTCCTCCATAACTTCTTTATTTATGAAAATATTCAAATAAGAATTTCACATTCTCATGGCAGTTTTTCGAAGTGATTTCGAAAAATATATGAAATTCATACCAACTCTTCTAGAATTCGAGATATCAGCACCAACTTTAGTTTTTCATATGTAGGTCATAGCTCACTATGACTTAGTTACAAATAACTTTTTTTTCTCTTACAGATGATATGTCGCAGTAATAGTTTTGTGTTGATAACAACGGAGTTATCGTCATTTATACAAAAACAAAAAATTATTTGGAAGCCGCCATCTTGAATTCATAAATTTTAACAAAAAAATCATGATCTCCGACCTCAAAAACCCCCACTTACCAATTTTGAATGGAATCGGACCAAATCTTGTCCGCCATCTTGGAGCAGCCATTTTTTTTAATTTCAACAAAAGTTCCATAATGTATTGTCACCGGATTTACGAACATTTCGGTGACAATACATTATGGAATTTTTGTTGAAATTAAAAATAATGGCTGCTCCAAGATGGCGGACAAGATTTGGTCCCATTCCATTCAAAATTATTAAGTGGGGGTTTTTGAGGTCGGAGATCATGATTTTTTTGTTAGAATTTATAAATTCAAGATGGTGGCTTCCAAATAATTTTTTGTTTTTGTATAAATGACGATAACTCCGTTGTTATCAACACAAAACTATTACTGCGACATATCATCTGTAAGAGAAAAAAAAGTTATTTGTAACTAAGTCATAGTGAGCTATGACCTACATATGAAAAACTAAAGTTGGTGCTGATATCTCAAATTCTAGAAGAGTTGGTATGAATTTCATATTTTTTTCGAAATCACTTCGAAAAACTGCCATGAGAATGTGAAATTCTTATTTGAATATTTTCATAAATAAAGAAGTTATGGAGGAGACATGGAAATGATCAGAATTTGTTTTTTGTCAATAAAACAAAAACGAATAGATTTTATCAAAATATTTTTCACATTATAGTTTGTCTTGACAAACTACACATTTGGTGTCATTTAACCGACATCGTATCTCTCACCGTTAAAAAGATTCCCATGGTGAGCATGGTAAGTGGGACACACTGTATAGACACCAATGCTGAAGCCTTTCAAAACGGTAAAATGTGAAGAAAAATCATAGTAGGATGAATCTCATTGAAAAAGAAAGAGAATATAACAAAGATGAAAGGGAAAATAAATTACGGGCGATCTGAGGTCGGGAAATGGTAGGGGGTGAGTTTTCAAGGGTAAAAAACGGTTTATCTTGAATAGCAAAGTTGTAGGTAATGGAGAGACCTACAACTTTTGTGATTACACTTTTTTCACATAACCTCAAAATGTATGTGTTTGGTTTTTTATTTTTATCTTATGCAAAAATAATTTTTTTTTACGAAATTTGTTCAAAACTCACCTTTTCATGTCCCAAAGACACTGTAATTTTTTTGATCCGAAATATTTATTTTTTCACCTTAAATTGACTTAATATCGAAAAAACACCCTAATTTTCAATCGAAAATTCTCGCGTCAAAATATCAGATTTATGAAAAAGATCGGGGCGTTTTTAGTTCGTTGAAATCTCTTCTTCCTGATAATGTAAGAAAATATATACATTACTATGGTAAACGTTCTCAGAAAATGCAAAGAAAAGAAAAAACTCGAATCCGAATTTTTTTTTTAATCACTATGTAAAATTTTGCGTTATTTTGTAAAATTTTCACTTCAATTACTTGAAAAACGTTAGAGTCTATGTTACATTGAAAAACAAAAAAATTACAGATCCATAAATATTTCAAGAAACATGCGAAATAGTTGTTCTAAATATTAAAGATAAGATTTGAAGGGGGGATTTCAATGAAAAATGTGATTGCTGCAATGTTGTTCAGTCAAAAAGTTGATTTATTAAATTCTAATTATATTTATATCATAGAAAATCTCATAATATATGAATAGAAAATATGTAAATCGTACTATTGAATTTTGATACTTAATACTGATAATTATTATTCATAATAATATTTTCAAATGCATTTATCTTCTTATATATAAATCTTATCTTGAAACCTAATCATTTATTCATTACTTTTTCTCGACTTTTTGTCTCTTCGGTGGCATTTCTTCATCGTTAGATTCGACAAACCTTCCCGATTCTAGTATTTCTAGTAGATCTTCGAAATCTTCAAGACCATCACCGTCTTCGTATCCAATATTATTTTTAGTCTGAATTGGTCTTTCATCCACAATTTCATCTGAATCACTAACTTCTTCCAAATCCTATCTTTAATAATAGAACAACTATTTTCGCATGTTCCTTGCAATCTTCATGTAATTAAAGTGTAAATTTCACTGAATAGCTCAAAATTGTACATAGTGATTAAAAAAAAATCGGATTCGAGTTTTTTTCTTCTGTTTGCATTTCTGTCAACATTTATTATAGTAATGTATATATTTTTTTACATTATCAGAAAGGAGAGATTTCAATGAACAAAAAACGCCCGAGTTTTCTCAAAAAGCTGATATTTTGACGTGAGAATTTTCGATTGAAAATTAGGATGTTTTTTCGATATTAAGTCAAAATAAGGTGAAAAAATAAATATTTCAATTCAAAAGAATTACGGTGTCTTTAGGACATCAAAAGGTAAGTTTTCACCAAATTTCCTGGAATTTTTTTTTTTACATAAGGTAAAAATAAATAACCAAAAACTTGATTATTTCAATTTTCCACATAATTTTGATGGTATGTGAAAAAAGTGTAGTTACAAAAGTTGTAGGTTTCTTTATTACCTACAACTTTGTCATTCAACATTTCTCCATAGGACTTGTGGTTTTGCCGGAAATCGAAATACACCGTTTTTTACCCTTAAAACTCACCCCCTTCCACTTCCCGACCTCAGTTGACAGGTAAATTGTTTTTCCTTTCATTTTTGTAATATTCTCGTCCTTCCTCAACGGGTTTTCCTACTATTTTTTTTGTTTCAAAAATTATCGACCCCGGTTTACTATTATTATGGGGGTTCCCTTTTTGGCAATAATGCGGGTTGGTTGTAAAAGTAATGTATCTCTTCAGAAGGAAAGTTGATTTCTTACGTCCAACAAGTTCCCGACCAAATCCCACGTAAAAATGTTGCATCAACTAGTAGTATTACTAGTAGTAGTTGTATATTATATTCTGTTTAAAAATATTATAAATTATAAAGAAATCTTACATTGTCAAAAAAACATTTTGCAAGAGAAGAAGAATTGACCATACCCTCCATGTTGATAGATTCAGCTTCAAAATAAACAAACAAGAATTTGCAGATTCACTTCAGGGTAATTTTATTGGATGTGTGCTCTAGGATTTGTGTGATGTATATTACTTGTTTCACTTGGTCTATGATATTTATTTAGTGAACATGGTCACTGGGACACTCTCTTTTAAAATAATTTTTCAGGAAAAAAGTATACTAGCATGTAGTGATGGACTGTGATATATCAATAAACATGGTGAAGACATAGGAAGTTTTCCAAGCTATTTGAATGAATATTCCATTCACACACTTCAATTTGTTTCCTCCTTCATTTTGTACATTCTATTGAGCCACAAAAAAATTCCCATCACATGTAGATGCCATTATGTATTTTAATTTGGGATACACATATTCTATTTTTTAGGAAGAAAATATAAAATCACACAAAATGTTTGACAAAACTTTCATTGAAACTAATATGGACCTATTCACCAAATTCAGTCAAATTCAGAAATAGGATGATAGGTATCTTGAAAAGTGTAACACTATGTATTAGGTATATATGCTTGATTATGTTCAAAATCATCTTACCTATCACCTCATTCCAGACATTGGTGAACCAAACACCCTGTAAAATGATCAGCCTATTAGAAGAAAAAATATTTGAACTAGGTATACAAACAAAAAGTTACCTAAATATGTGTTTTTCTTCTAGTTCTGGCCTCTGAAATTATAAGGTTCTTTCCTCTGCCTTTCACTATCCTGTAAAATGCACTACACTATGAATCAACTGATATTTCCTGCAGTTATACCAATGAATTTCAAAGAAAGAGGAAATAATTGAATTGAAGAGGAAAAGTGCTATTTGAATTTTCAAATGCAATATTTGATGTAACTGGTTTTCCAGTATTGGTGTATATCTATGCACTTTTCAAAAGAATGCTCAAATGCAGTATAAATTACAGGACCTGTAGGAATGCGCTACAATTTTCCTACAAAAGAAAATGCCTATTGATTTTATTTATTGGAAATGGACTGTTATATAGTTTCAATGGCTTAGTATGATTTGTTAACGTTTTTGGTGCTAGCATAAGAAAAGTTGATAAAAATATGAAATCTGAAAGTGAGGAAATTTGGTTTTAAGTGTGTATTAGTGTGTACTTTCATAAAGTTCTAATTCTAATAATTTATTTTGAACATAGGACTTGAAATATCAATCTCCTTGTGTATTGTAGATTGATGTGTTTTTCCATGCACAGTATTGTTAACCTCAGTGTGCACACTAACAACTTGAGTATATCTGAATAATAAATCATAACATGCATTCAAATATATTTAATAATGGTTTCAAAAGTGATTATGGAATAAGCGATAATTCACATGCAGATTACAAAGTTAATGTAATGACACAGTGTGTCACACACTCACCTTCGATAGCCTATCCATCAAAACTTGTTTCACGCCATTCTTATCCAAACCCCTTTTTTCTAACTCTGCTTTCAAATCGATCACCCTCAGATCGGATATTTTTTTATCACCTTCGGACATTTTAACACAATATTATATTTGACAATCAATCAGATGAATCAATTTGATTATACGCGTTTCCGCTATCCACGTATACTAATTTAATTAAACAGATACGTAAGGAATAGAAGAACCGGCAGACATTTTCTACAAAATAGAAATTGGAATACTTGAGGTCTGTTCGCTGTTTCTGCATGAAATTCATATTGTACACTACACTGAACTTTTCGACGCGGACGAGTGTAGTGGAGTGCGGTGTGTAGAACTCATCCTGTTCGTTGCTTGTGGTGTAGTCAAGTCGTTGTCAAGTGTAGTGACATTCGCATATTTTAATTGCATGGGTTGAGTTCCGATATTACTGAATTTACCGGTCACAGTCAGTAACAACGGAACGATTTGAGTTTCAGTAAACTAGGGCGTGTTTTTCATTCCATCGAAGAAAGTGCGCACTGATAGATGCGGTTTTTTGTCGTGACGTCACCAATTGTTCTGTTGGAATTCATGCTGGAAGGATTGAACAATGGTTTATACAACACATTGATGGAAACACGGATTTTGTTGTGTGTCAGTCATCATGTATCTTGAGAATCAGAAAAGGCCAATTCGACTTTATTGATTAACACTGACTCTTTCTTCTAAAATCTCTCAAGAATCTCAAAAATCCTCAATATTAATTGTTTTCTATCAAATCAGAACAAAAAACAACACTAAAATGTGCCAACTGTCATGTCAATCTCCTCCATACTGCTGGATTCTCGAAATGCGATTTAAAAGTGCGCATTTTATTACAACAGTTTGATGGATGTCCATCAACATTCCAGCGGAATTTTGCAACACTTTGATGGTTTCTTCGATTCATGCGCATGATAAAATGTTGGAATGAAAAACGCACCCCTACTATATTACTGTGGAATAACGGAACGAATATCTAGCAGTGTTGGTAGGGATATATCGTTGTTTGGCGGCAAGGTATGAAAATGGGAATCATAAATTTATTTATCTGATGGCATGTCATAATGACAACGTTATGTCACTCAATTTTGATGACATAAGGAAGCTCATTATGGGACTAAGTACCATAATGAAATTCTATAAGGAAAACATGTAATGGTTTGATCAAAAAAGTTTATTCAAAATGCATAACTATGTACAAAACTATTTATTATAAATGGTAAAAGAACAATTACTACAATTTGTAATATTAATATAATGGCAAAGCACAGCTCACTCACCTACTAATATTTGAAACTACACAATACTTACTCCTTTAAAAATAGTTGTCATTGTGACATGTCGAAAATGCAGTTTTTAATTTTTCGAAAATGTATTGATATAAATGCCATCAGATAAAATTTTGTATGTAATACGAATCATAAACAATCATTATGGCACACGCCGTGTTATCGGCACATTCACGACTTGTACCATAATGATCGTCTTTATGATCCTTATTACATAAATAACTATTAATGCAAGTTTTATGTATGTATGTATGTACCTACTAGTCTGATAAAAATATATGGATACTCTCGTTCTAGCTGTTACTGCTGAATTTTTCGGATCTTCATCTGATGAATCTGATATATTGCTGATGGCATGCAGTAGTTCTAGTAGTACTGACAATGAAATAGATTGTATTGCAGGGATTTATATATACCTATACCATGAATTAGAGAGGTCAGATTATTCCTCGCCCAAGGATATCAAATTTCCTAATCCACTTCGATTTCGAAAACTACCCAAAACATTTTCATTACAGACGATCAATTTTTGTTCATTATTGGATGGTTTTAGGTTTGGAATAACAAAATCTTTTTCATATTTGTAAAAATCACTATAAACAATTCAAGAACAAACAGCACATAAAGAGATTAAAGAGAAAAATAATAATCTTTATAACCACACTTTTTAGTTTTTCATGAAGGAGAGGAGCTATTACTGGCAATCTGTATTACTGGCGCCACACTAGCGCCACATGACCATTTGATGTCAGTAGCATCAGTAGCGAACAGTGAATTTCTAGCCTTGTGTTCAATAACCAGAACGCGGGAAAGTGCTACCAGCAGAAAACAGTAATTTTGGAACAGTCTACACTTGAACTATACTGGATAGTACTGGTTGGGAATATCGGAACTCGACTATGGTAAATACTCTTTGAACTTATCAATGAACTCAAGTTACATTCAGTTCATTGGAACTTATAGGGAATAGAGAATTCCATTGCCAGAAACTGGTGGAGTGTGTCTGCACTCAATTTATATGTTTCCTTCTTACTCGCATGTGTTAAGCAGAGGTGAATACACACTCAGTGGAAAAACACTCCACCAGTTTGGAATATGGGAGAAGATGGTGTGCCTACGCGCATATTATGTGACGTCATCTGGGATACCAACAGCTGCTAGTCACAGACAGATACTATTGCCATGGGCTTGCGCAAGGAATTCAATCATGTTCATTGAAATTTCTATAAGTTTCTCGATCTGTTCAAAAATAATTCAATTTATATAAACAGGTTCCTATTTTCCTTCGATTTTACTATTTCATTGATTCTGGAGATTGTGATCTTGAGGTGATTCGCAATCGCAAATAGCAGATACGTACGAATTATCATGCATTGCCAATTCCATCTGAATGATCCACTACTGTGTCGATTCTGACAGATTCAAATTCAGCAGTTAACGACGTGTTGCTTTCGCTCCGACATCGTGACATCGACAACAGGAGTATCAATTTTTGCCGTTTTGTTATTCAAATCTTTTCTGCAATTTATATTTTGTGAGGAATTAAGAGTATATATATTCGAATTCATTTTCAATTGCTTTTGGGTGTATGATGAATTGACATTCATCATACAGGACGTGGAAAGAAATTCTGAATTGAGACTCTATCACGAATCTGCGATTAGAGGTCTATAAAAATCACAAGTTTCCATCGTTCAAGTTTGAACCCCCTGATTGGGTATGAAAGTGTTGAAAAGGAATATTCTCAGATAAATTATGAACATACAAAAATTGATATATATTCATATAAAGCAATACATTGAGAATTCGCATTCTCTATGTGATGAGAATATTTACTCTTTTTCAGTTTATTCAATAGAAAACAACTACTTTCCTGGCTATATGCCACGACGAACATTGAATTATATCTATTGAACACACGGGATAAGAGTTTGAAAATAAAATATAAAAACTTCTGAAATTGAGAATTTGCATTCTCCTTCAGACAAAAATATATATATGCACACATCATTCTGAATATTCAACATAAAACAACTACTTTCCTGGCTATTTGCCACGTCGAACATTGAATTATATCTGATGAACATTCAAAAGGAGAACATAAAAAATAAAGAATAAAATCCTCCGAAATTGAGAATTGACATTCTTCTTCAAATCGGATGAATAATATGATGAATAATGATATAGAAATATAACTTATCAATATATTCAATGCTGAATACTAATGTGTTGTGACTTTTGATTACATCAAATTCCAGACGCAAAAAAGGAGCTGTAGTGTTCGAAACATTTTTAAATGCCGAAAAATGTATGGAGATTACGTCACTGCCAGTTCTATGCATATTATTATATATTTAATCAATATTATTATTATGATTATTTTCAACTTCATTTCAGGATGAAACACAAATGACAAAACCAAGGCAACTGAGAAGAGCAGTAAAAAGTCACGTTGATTTTTTTTTTTTGGAGAATGACATTTGCATATAAGTTCAATTCACGATTAATTTTAGATTCTCCTCCAATAATCAGAATGCGAAACGTAAAAACCAAACCATAAAAATTTTGGTTTTGAACGCCGCGTTATACTGGCAGATCGTTCCGCAGCACGGCAGCATGCTACTAATCGAATGACTGGCGCGAGACGTTTGTAATTACTCGCGAGAGACATAGCCTTGAGACATATGGACTATAGTTGCGTTTTGTTGTCGCTAACCTAGTTCTGTAACAGATATTCCATGCGTTTTCTTGACATATTCTATGAATTCGCGCCAACAATTCCAAAAGTTATTCGCTCTGGCTGCTCGAATTTCGATCGAACAGGACGATGGAATAACATGTCAAAAAGAGAAATTGAACAAAATGGCAGTATTAAATGTTCATTCTTGAGGTTTCTGATTTTCTGATTTTCTCAACCAAAGCTATAGTGAGTGAAAATAGTGAAAGTTTATATTACGAAGGAATATATGGTATTCGTTATTAAATTGGACAGGAATTATGTCGCTGCCAGAAGAATTTTCCCATTGAGGATTCGGATATTCAATAAAGTATCATATTCAAAAAACTACAGTATTTCTTCTCGACGTTGAATCTATGCAAAAAATGCTATTACATGAGGAAAAAAGTCAGGTTACCAACATAAAATTTCCGTTTTCTTGATCAATCATTGTATTCTATTATTTGGGTTAATTCCGTTTTCTTGCACAACCATTTTATTCTATTCCACAGGTTATCAACAAAACGCACCTATTATTGACATCAATGACAGTGACAAACCGATGTCAATTGTCATTGTCAAATGAGAAGGAATTTATAAATTATTGTAAAATTTGTAAATAGTTTTCACCTTGGTTTTGCTGGAACTATCTGTTTATTTTCTTGTATATTGTATTTTGATGAACTGTGTGATAATTATTGGTTTTACAAACGCAACTCGTATTGCCCGTGATATCAAAAAATGTCTCAGATGAATGCAACCACCCTGAATGGTGAGAAAACCAGTATTCATGACATGTTGAAAGAAACACCACCAAATGAAAAAAGAGCAAGTAATGTAGCACCAGCAACTAATTCTACTACGTATTCGCGTTCCGTTCCTACTAACTTGTCCACATACAGTGGTAGCAGTTCACCCACAATTCTTAATTCACCAACCCAAAATGATGAATCATCTCTACTCAAGGCATCATCTCGAATAGAAAATCTCAAGAACTGGTCTATATCCACATACAAATGTACCAAGCAAATTATGTTTGAAAAACTAGGGAAATCTTCAAGAACAGTTGATGCAGGTGAGATTTCATTAGATAATAATTATCTTGTGATAAGTAGTAGCTATTGAACTTGTGGCATCTAACTTGAACATTTGATGTTCACCTTTTCATTTGGGTTATGTTGCAGAATTAGAATCACAAATAGATCAGTTGAAAGAAACACAGAAGAAGTATGTGACAATATTACGTTTGACCAGAATTTTAACTAGTCATTTTTATCAGGTTGTACAGACCCAGGTATTTAGCTGTTAAAGTTTCCACCATTAGAATTCCAACAAGTGATATGTTTTAGCATGCCTTGGGTGAGGCTTTTTCTGATTTAGCTCAAAAATCTCCTGAACTTCAAGAAGAATTTTTATACAATGCAGAAACCCAAAGAAGCCTGACTAAAAATGGTGAGACATTACTAGGTGCACTGAATTTTTTCATCACATCAGTGAACACTTTGTGTAATAAAACAATTGAAGACACCCTTCAGAGCATTAGACAATATGAAGCAGCAAGGATTGAGTATGATGCCTACAGAACTGATTTGGAATCCTTGTCTACAAAACCTGATGGGTCTGTTGGATTAGAGGAAGCACAACAGGGCTATGAAATTCATAAAGAGCATTTTATGAAGTTGAGAGCTGAAGTTACCATCAAAATGAAGTTCTTGGATGAAAACAGGGTATGCTTTGCTCACTTAATTTATTCATATTCTTCACTATCATTATTGAACCCAGAGGAATTTCAGTTTTTGTACAGGCTTGACCTTTGTGTAACATAAAATGTATAGACTGATGAATGAATTACTGACCTAAGCAAATGACAGATCACATGGGTGATGGTTATTACTATCTAAAGATTCTAAAGTATTAAAATTCATTCATACACTTATGAGGGGATTGATGTTATGGGTGTAAAACAATTACTAACAAATTTCTAAACTTTCATTTCACTATGTTTGTTTGTAAGTATTGTATAGGGATGTTTCCAAAGTTCTGGTAATCATGATATAATTGAATTACCTTATAGACTGTGTTATTGGTGCCAGACACACCAAACAATTCTTAATTTTGCTCTTTGAGATGTTGCAGTGTCTTCCATGGTTACAAAAACTGTGTTATGAAAATGTATCTTTATCAGGTGAACACCTCAATCAGACTGAACAATATTGCACTAGATAGTTGCATAAACATGTCAAGACCTGTCTGGCACCAATAACATCTCCTATAATTTTGTGTAATTTAATTATAGCAGAATTCCCAGAACTTTGAAAATATCCCCATATTATACCTACTGTTTCCCTTGAATTATGTGTTCAATGAGTGGATTTGGGTGATAAGTTTTCTTTGAGCCACCCCACAGTAATATGCCCTAAATTTGATTTCTAGCAGGGCATTTACAAAGGGTCACTTTTTATTTATTTATAGTACCTTTATAGGAACCCAATATACAATTAGGACGTGAAAATGTCTTCATCCCCCCCTTAACTTTTGAACAGAACAAGCTAGCAAGATCAGGTAAGAAGGTACCTCTTACTACTTTTTGGCATATAAATGGTTGTGGTCATGTGACCTAGCATCAGGTGCCCACCATAATTTTTTTTTGCAAATGTAGAGGGGTCACGTGGTACCATGTTATGAAGGCCTTTTGATTCTTTATCCAATGCCCTTTTGTTTGTGTAAATTGGCCAAGCCATTTCAAAATGCCAAGCATTTGAACTTTGCTTCAAATATTGATATTAATGTAGTAGTAGTAGTTTATTGAAAAATAGGAAAGCCTAATATACAAACATCTCGAGCATCCATAAAACATTTAACATCACACATATATATGTATAAAATTCACAATAGCAATTCATAGTTATAGTTATACAAGACACATATTTAAAAACCATTAACAATAATACTAAAAACAAAAAAGAAATTTTAACATATAGTCAACAGATAACTAAACAATCAAGCTGATAATACAGAAAACTTAATACAGGTTGAGGACAATATTAAGTAAAGAAACAATTATTGAATATAGGATAATATGTTATAAACATTTCCATACAATACCCACCCGTCCAACATTCATAGAGTTTTAACATACTTCGATAATGATGATTTAAATAACTTTCAATTGCAACAGAATTGTGCAACAAAATTGCAAATAACAATAAATTGTAACAAGTGCTCTAAAATGCTTGAAATGTTCACCATTCTCATATCGACATGGGTTTTAAAATTCAATAGGAATGTTATCTACTGTTTCTGAGGTAAAATTCAAACAATAGGCGAGTGGACTAATTTTTTTTATTTCTTAAATAGAATCACTCAAATACCTTTCAATTTCATATTTTTTAAGAGTTTTATACCGGATTAACTTGAAAGAGTTGATAGCATAGCATAGCAAATACATTTTGTTTTCTTAGTAAGTAGGCGGCTCGGTGGTCGAGAGCGTTCGAGACATAGGTTCGAATCCTAGTTAGGCCATGGATGTTTGTGTTTGTATGTATACCTAACCCCGCACAAGTTTCGACTTATGGGGCGTTTGGTCCCAGTGCTGGGACCAACGAGGTATGCAATTGCAAAAAAAATATATGTATTTGTAATGTATTTAATATTTTTTTAGATTTTTTGTGTCGATTTTAAGGTGATGAAATCATCGATACCGGTAATTTTCAAGCGGCTAGAAATTTACCACAAATAAAACTGACTTCTCGTAAGTAGGAGCAGACCACAGCACAGTTGCCATTATGTTGAAATACAAATGGGAACTTCAGAAATATTATTTATTTAAGGATATTACTAATACATAATTAAGAATTTATGAATCATATAAAAATTCATTGACTCAAAATTGTCCCTCTTATATGATGGGTCCATAAAGTAACGCATAAATTCGTTATTGGCCAAATGAACAATAAAATTAGAAATTCCCGAAACAGGTCGATTTTTGATTTCAATTTACTATTGTTTCAAATCATAATCTAATATACAGGGTGAACCACTTTCGTGTAATGACGTCATCACCATTTTTTTCAAATGGAACCCCCCTTTTTTTTTCAATTTCAGAATTGCCCTTGCTGAGCTGATTCCAAAAATGTATAATATGTTGCTTCAAATTGGTACAGGGTGGGCAAAAGTGCAAAAAAAAAAAAAATGAAAATTGTTTATGGAAAGTAGTACGTTACTGAATGTAATAAACAAATTAAATGGAATTATGTAGTTATGCAATTAATGTGATACACTTCCAAAAACAAACAAACAAACGAAAATTCACAATAAATGTTCAAATTGTTCTCCATTGACCGTTAGACAATGACTGAACCGGGCATTACTTTCGTCTCTAACATTCTGCAGCATAGCGGGTGTTATGCTCTGTATTTCTTGTCTGATTCGGTCTTGTAGTTGAGGGATATTTCCAGGTCTGTTTAAGTAGACTTCAGATTTTAAATAACCCCATAAAAAGAAGTCTAATGGGCTCAGATCAGGTGATCTAGCAGGCCATTCCACTGGTCCCCTTCTTCCTATCCACCTTTGTGGAAAAGTTGTGTTTAAAAAATCGCGCACAGTTACTGCGAAATGTGGCGGTGCGCCATCCTGTTGAAACCAGATTCTGCGGTCTACATTAGTGGGTATTTGAATATCAGGGAAAAGCTGGATCAGATCAGGAATTAATGTATTTTGTAGGAAATCCAGATATAATGCTCCTGTTATGTTTTCATCAAAAAAATATGGACCAATAATTGTATTTCTCACAATACCAGCCCATACGTTAGTTTTTTGTGATCTTTGCGTATGGTACTCTTTCTTGCATCCAGTGTGGATTTTCATCAGACCAATAACGGGTGTTTTGCCGGTTAACATGACCGTTCAAATGAAACGTTTCCTCGTCCGAAAATAAAACGTTATCAATGAAATTGTTATTTTGGTTCATCATATACTCGCAGAATTCAGTTCTTCGGTCAAAGTCGTCTTCAGCCAATTCATGGATGAGACGTACTTTATAAGGATGGTATATTACCTTTTTAAAAATGTTTGATACTGAAGACTTTCCAATACCAAAATCCCTAGATAATCCTCGCACTGTATAGTGTGGATTTTCTACAGCCAACAAAATTATGTCTTGTTGAATATTTTCATCAATTTTTGGTCTATCTTGCTTTGCTGCATCCCTCACATGTCCTAATTCTCTGTATTTTCGCTCTATTCTACTCACCGTAGATTGTGAAATAGGTTCACGATCTGGGTGCATTTCATGGAATAATCGGCATACCTCTTGTTGAGTCCGCATCTTATCGCCAATCCAATACCAATCATCATTAATATTTCAATCCTGTCACTTTCGGTTAAAGGCATTTTGTAAAAAAAGTTCACGAACGTAGCTTCTCTAAAGCGTTAACAATACGAAACTGTGCTTCAATGTTTCTGACAGTTTTGTCAAATTAAAAAAATGGTAAAAGATAATGCCAAACAAAAAGATTTTTATAGTCCACGGGCTCGGATCACTAATAAAAGCTGTAAGATACAATTATTAAGAATAATGCTGGATGTACTTGATAGTTTATCGAAGTAGTTGTATAACAATACGTAATTTCATTTAATGTGTTTACTACGTTTATTCATTATTTTCATCACTTTGTAAGTAAATTTTTGCATTTTTGCCCACCCTGTACCAATTTGAAGCAACATATTATACATTTTTGGAATCAGCTCAGCAAAGGCAATTTGGAAATTGAAAAAAAGGGGAAGGTTCCATTTGAAAAAAATGGTGATGACGTCATTACACGAAAGTGGTTCACCCTGTATATTAGATTATGATTTGAAACAATAGTAAATTAAAATCAAAAATCGACCTGTTTCGGAAATTTCTAATTTTATTGCTCATTTAGCCAATAATGAATTTATGCGTTACTTTATGGACGCACTGTATATATAGTATAGTGTCACAATAGTTCAATCTAATAAAAATATGAAACTCAGAAAAATCGGTGGTGTACAATGACATTCACCATGATATCGATAAATTTTCCCACTGGGACGCCACTGGAAATATTATTTCGAATCTAATTGCACTAGAAGAAGCTCCATAATACTATTAACAAAGCCACAACATTCTATTGTAATTGTTGAAAAGACAATTGAGAAATGAATAGAAATCGAAAAGGAAGCAAGTTAGGACACATGTTCATATGAACTTCATATCCTAAAATATCACAAGGAATAACCCCTTGAATTTTTTCGGTGTTATTTAGATACACCCTGTAGAAATAGTAGATATATTTATATCTACTACTCATATATGAAGCATAGCTGTCCTCAAAGCGGGACTAACTTCTGTCTCTATAGGTAACGAAATCGACCAATAGGCCTTGATGCCGAAGGGAGTAGGGATAAAATAATACGACAATATGGCTACTGATTTCACATTTTCATCCTTCTCTTTCCGTCCTTATAGATTCAAAAAGTACCTCTAATGTTGGTCACATTTTTGTTGAGATATCGTATAGCCGATGCGCCATGTATAGAAATATTACATATATGCCAATATGGCTGTTTCCATTCTTCACTTTCCGTCCTTATAGATTCAAAAAGTACCTCTCATTTTGGTCCCATTTTTGTTGAGATATCGTATAGAGTATAGGCGATACGCCATAGGTATATAGAAATAGTACATAATATATGGTTATCAATGTCGAAAAACATAGCTAATTTATGACTGCGCACTTGCCCGTACCATAATAATTTCATAAATTGTATCATTATTTCAAGCTGTTGGTACCATACCATAATATAATCAATGACTCTAGGGAAGACATTTCGGTTAGGTTCGGTTCCATGTGAGTGGGGCGAATACCTCCCCTCCACTGCGACCCCAGATGGGTCTATTGTGGCTCACCCCTAGAGGTTACAGTTCACCGTACTATCCACATCTTTCGAGTTCATGGTTGAACTGGGTGAGATTTGTCTGAAATCGATAGGTTCTAAATTGGTAAAGCCAAATGTGTCGAACCTTAGTCTTTCTAAGCTAGAGCATGAACATAATATGTGGGAAGACATTTATTTCTCTCTCTCTCTCTCTCTCTCAATGCTAGCTTAACTTCAACTGCTCTATTGAAATTTGACCTTAGGTATTAATTTTTTAAAAACTTCACAGTCGAATAAAAACCTCAATATTGAAAACTTTCCCAATTATTTACTACCAGTCCAGTAGCCCATTTTCATTATACCTATATTCATCACAATCAACTCATGAATTAACAAATAAAAACGAGAACTGCGCATTATATGTATACCTTCAGATTTTCTATCTCCATTTGAGGTGAAAAGTTTCTATTAACGTGTCCTGAAGTGCATCCTCTTTGAGATACAGGGTGTCAAAAGTAAAAAAAAAAACAAGGTTCATATTAATTTCTTCAGAACCCCTGTGGAAAAAAATTGAGCATGGTATATACTATTCCAGAATAATCCATTTTTGAATTTCGTTCGTATGTCGCCATATTCTCCTTCATATTTATTCTTACAGATAATATTTTAAATTGGTGTATGGCATCAGTTGACAGTATGACGTATGATATTGGCTTAGCTTGAAATGTCAAAATGTTTTCACATTTGTAGAAAAAATGCAATTCCTGCACCTAACAGCTGCTGTTTATTTTTCAGATCAAGGTAATGCACAAGCAACTGCTCCTTTTCCATAATGCGATATCTGCCTATTTTTCTGGGAATCAGCAAGCCTTGGAAGCGACCCTCAAACAATTCAATATAAAAGTTAAGACTCCAAGTTCTACATTTCCCTCTTGGTTGGAACAGTAGGTAGAACGGATCAAAAGTTGAGTCTCTTTGAGAAACAAATCATTGCGTTTTTCATGCGTGAAACATCAAATATCTAGTCATTTTTTTATATAAGTTATGCTTGTTTAACAGTTCCTGTTTCAATTATATTCAGTATTCGGAAGAAATTCTAGTAACGTTTACTTAAATACTGTTATTTTTTTTGTGAAAAGACATTTATGCTTTGCTTTTGATATTTTTTTAATTTTTAAAGAAACTTTAATATTTATTTGTCATGTTTCTAATTTTCCTAAACATTTCTTGGATACTAATCTATAAAAAACAATGGTGTTTGGTCACAAATGATAATAGTCTGAACATACAATTCCAAAAACCACACACAATAAAGCAACAACCAATGTAGAAAAAAAATATAATTCTTGTTCTGTATACATTCCAGATTAGTAGTATAATAACAAAATATTATAATTTTTGTATCTTCAAAGATCCAAACGGAAAAAAGAAGCTGAAATAAATGTTTTAGCGGAAATCAATCCTTCAGTATAGTGTATCATTCACTAGTAGTTCAATTACTTGTCACATTCCCATATCCGAGTCCTTATTGGTCACAATCAGAGCTAAACAAATACTCTGAAAAAAGTATTTAAATATTGAGCAGTTGAGTATTAAATACTTGGGTTTATTGAAAAGATTCAGATTTGAAATATTTTCAAAGACAAAGAAATATATTTAAATATCAAATACAAGAGTATTTGAAGAGTTGACAGAGAGTATTAAAATATTCTTGAAGTATTCAAGCAGAGGTATTTGAATAGTTCACATTAAGTATTTAAATATTTCAAAAAGATTTAAATACTTTAAGTATATGGATATTTTCAAAGTATTCCAATTCGCAAATTTTGCTTTCGCTCGGCTTCGCTAAACGCTCCGCCTCGCAAATGCAAAATTCGCTTGTCAAACAAAGTGTCACTTTTGATCCTAATGAAACAATCTACTATTTTCTGCAACCGACACAAAAGTCGTCCATTTTAATACCAAAATTAGCTCTTGAATTGACGTTTTTATTACTGACACAAACATTGGTATGTTGCTAGGCAACACTTTCAGTTCCTAGGAGCTTAAGTTCAACTTTAGCTCCTAGGAACTAAAAAGGATGTACTAGGTCGTCAAGAATAAACAACATTGTTATGGTTGCTTATTTGGGTTGGGACGCATACCTGATTTGTTCCCGATTTCGGCAGATTTGGCATTTCATACCCATGCTGGAGATATAAATACACCATATTATAGTATTTTTGGTTTGATCAGGGAAGCCTTCAAGATTCACATACTTGCTTGATCTGTATTTCATGCATTCTGGGGATCTGATTGATTGGATAACTTGTTTTTGAATAATCACGCCCAGCAATATTTCGCTCTTATTATTGTTGATATGCTCACTAAGCTAACATCTTCTAAACAATTCGAACATTCTTAAATATTGAATAAACCTGATCTGTTAATGCAGGAAGAATATTCTCACCACACGGATTATTTGTTGCATTGCATACATATGGCACGGCATCCACGTTTGGGGTATAGTATTGAATTCGTGCCTGTAGTATCTGGATGATGCATGTCAACGCAAATTGTAACAAAGTAAAGTCATCATCCACCAATATTCTAATATGTAGAGTAGTATGAGGTCTTGCTTCTATCTACTTACCTATATTATTATAATAAAGGGATTATAATAATAATCTCAAGTAAGTGACATTGGTGGTTACTTCACATATTTTAGTTAATCCTTTCGGTTTCAGAAAAAATAGCATGTTTCATTCCGTTAAAATGTGACTTTGTTTAACTCTTTTAACGTTTACAAAACGAAAAGCTTCATGAATTTCCATGAGAGAAATTACATAAGAGGTTGTGTTTGTTTATTGGGGATCCAAATAATTTCAAAATTTTAATACTAGAGTCAAGAATCAAGAAAATGAATCAACTAATATTTAGAGCAGTGATTGTGGTGATTGGAGAATCTTCTCTGAGATCGAGATAATTCATTTTATCTGGGAATGAACATATGAAACCTGTCCTACTTGAAAGAATCATGAACTAGTGAACCTCACGATGAAAATGTCGTCTAAATATTTTTTGCTCTCAAAAAGTTTTGTTTTTTCAGCAGTCCTATTGATTTTTTGATAACTTTCAACAGTCATTCACGTCATTCCTTGTAGTGAGGCGAAATGAAAAGTAGCAACCTGAATCGGAAAAGTCGCAAATAAAACGACACATTAAAGTGATTTCGCTTTTGTTTGACTCACAAATGCAAAATTTGCTTGTCAAACAAAGTGTCCACTTTTGATCCTAATAAAACAATCTACCAATATACTATGTTGGGGTATCAAATACTTAGTATTTGAATTCTCTACAGGTATACATATATATACTCCTGAAATATTCAAATCCTCCTGAAATATTCAAATACTCCGTAAATATTCTATTACTTTACGAAACTATTTGCAAATACTAAGTTATAAATATCTTGTAACACATCTTTGTAACTACAAATATTATTCGTGCCTGAACCAGGATGTATTTCAATCTAGAAAATATTTGAAAAAGAGAAATAATGCACAGCCCAATGAATATCAGGTCCTCATTTCCTTTGGAACAAGTTAACGTTACTGCTTCTCAATTTGTTTGTAAATGTAGGTATTCACGAGAAAATCTTGACTATCATTCCATCACTAGCAATACCATTCAGACGCAGACGAACTTAATGAACTTGGTCCTTACAGTCTTTGTAGCCATCTTGATTAGACCTAAGATGCCTAGAGACTGGTGTAACGACTCCCCTATTCCAGGTTATGTCCAAAACCTGTACGATGAAATCGGCAAACAGCAAACTTGATGGCAAGCGAGAAGAATACTCTGAAACCGCCACGGGTAGTGTAGAGTTGCCGGTTGACAGAAAAATTATCTAAATCCAAGATTTCTTTATAATTTTCACATTACGAGAAAATCTGCTATATACAAAGAGAAGAGATTGTCTATGACACACGAAAAACGAATTTATAACTTTGACTTATTTTTTATCATATTTAATCCAAGCGTGATGGATTATTTTGAAGTATTATAATTTTCGCAATGTCAGCCATTTATATCTGATGGAATGAGATGTTATACGCAAATCAGCATTCATATAACTGATGTAACTACTATCTAGACCGCTATATGCCATATTCCAGAATCCGAAAGTCGCGAGTAAATTGCTCGCCTGAAATCGCTTCCTGGTCAATTCGTAGGAACCTCTACAGTCTACACTGTCGTTCATGAGAAAGAGCGTTGTCATTCTTCTTGGTGTTGAAAATCATATATATGAGTAAAAGTAAGTAGTAAGATACATGATCGGTCATGAATGCGCATGTTTCATGTTCTCCAGGTAAATTTCATGAGAGGCATAGCTTATTTCTCATGGTCCTACTAACGGTCTAGATATCAATAATTTATGTCAGTGTAACCATTGATTGTCGCTTCTGTAAAAATGGTCACCTTTAACAATTACGGCCCTGTATCCTTGATGAGATAAAACTTCATGGATGAAACAGGAAATAATCAGTGCCGGTTTTAGCACTACCAGCGCCCTGGGCAAGAAATCTAACTATGGGAACAACAGACCCTTGAATTCATTCAAAACAAATTTATCTTCAGCGGACATGACAATAACGACCAATCTAATTGCAGTATTTCTCGAATATTTCAATAGATGTAATTCAATTTTCGTCATGGCATATAGCCAGGAAAGTAGTTGTTGAATAAACCGAGAAAGTATTGATATTTCCATCACGTAGAGAATGCGAATTCTCAATGTACCTATTTCTTATATATATATATATACCCATTTTTTTATGTTCATCATTATATCTGAGAATATCAACATCTTGTCTCCCAAAACATGTGTTCTATTGCGTATCAAATTTTCCCGTTCACAATCTGAAACACCTTGGATATTATTGTATTTGACAACAGGCGAATGGACAATTTTTTTTATTTCTTAAATAGAATCATCACTCAAATACCTTTCAATTTCATATGTTTTAAGAAATTTTCAGTCGATTTTAAGGTGCTAAAATCACCAATATTGATAATTTTCAAACGGCTAGAAATTTACCTGGAGTTAAAACAGACGTCGCGATTTTGAAAGTAGGGCACAGTTGCCATATGTTGAAATACGATTGGAAACTTCAAGAATTCATTAATTCATGAATTATCATTCATGTATTGGTAATATTTCTAATTAGCACTAAAACGTCAATTGTCTCAAAATGTTCCCTCATGTGTTGTGGCTTATTGCTTATAATGAATTAGTGTAAGTAATAATTATAATAATTCACACTAGAAGACATTTGAAATGGTAAACCTGACAACACGGTTCACGAATTGTGGTCGTGGTCTTGTCAGGCTCCAACATTCAAATGATATTTTGTTAGGGCGTATAAGAAATATTTGGCCATGCTAGTTGCTCGAAATAAGAGTCAAGAATGAACTTTAATTTCATGGGTTCCTCCAGTTATGTTTTATTCAACAACAGGATTCTAACACCTTCTTAATAACTCGATTATAACTGGTGACTTGGCAACCTTATTGCTTCATGAGTGTGAATGGAAGATTATCGGACCAATAACGAAGCAGCATAAAAATTTATTCGACGTGTCGCCAAATGGTGGCTCTGACGGAACGTTTGAAATGAGCTCTGAAATTCAACAATTTCGAACAAGACATAAGTTGCGTTTTATCTATCCGATTCCGCCACCGGAATCAGTTTGATCTCACTACAAGGAATGATGTGGAATGACTGTTGACAGGTGTCAAAAAATCAAATTAGATTGACGAAAAACGAACCTTTTTGAAAGTAAAAGACATTTAGAATACATTTTCAGCGTGAGTTTCACTAGTTCATGATTCTTTCGAGTGAGACAGGATTCATATATATTCATTCCCAGATTAAATAAACTCTGTCGATCTCAGAGAAGTTTCTTCAATCACCACAATCACTGCTGATTCATTCTCTAGATTCTCAACTTTAGTATTATGCTTTTTAAATTATTTGGATCTCCCATATACAAATATATTATAACATCTTTTGTAAATTCTCTCGAGCAAGGTTATGAAGTTTCTCGTTTTATTTGTAAAGGTCATTCTGTTCCCACCACCGCTACCAGAATGGAACAAATAAAACGCAACTATAGGCTCATCACATAAAATAGCGTGAGAAGTATTGCAAAAATTAATTCAGGTCCCTAACGACACAGTGGAGTAATTGAATGCCAATAATTTATTATCAGTCTACTCGCCCATTCAACCAATCTTCGAAGCTTCGCATTTCAATGAGAAAGTTCAACAGAAAATGGTATTTTTTGCTGGTTGAATCAAGTATTTCGATTGGTTAGAGGCAATTGAAAAACATTTTTATTTTTTAATCAATGTATTACAACCCCCTTTTCATCATCGTCCAACTTTTCCAATATTTTATCATATTATCATAAATAGGTACCCTGTTTTTAGTGCCAGCGCTGTTATTAGAATTCGCGGTGATGTTCTCATTGATCATGGAATCCTTATTTTTCTGATAATTTTGGCTGTTACTCACTTATTTTGAGGGGGAGACCATGACATCGACAATGAAATTGCGCACAAACAACTTTCGATTTTTATGTATGGCACTATGACAGTTTTGCTAGTGTTACAAAAATTCCAAATTTTCGTACGTTATTTCACCAAGTAGCTTTCAATAATATTCCATATAATAAGCTGATGAAAGAATTCAAGAATGTTATTGTCTTTTTGGCTATGAATACATTTTTCTAGAAAATATATGGTAGGCATAGATATTAAAATCTGTGTCGTTTGCGTAACTTAAGGATATTGTCTTCTTGCTATGAAGACATTATTCTGTAAACAATGGGTGTAGCAATAATTAATATCTATGCCGTTTTTTTCGATTAGGTTATTAATGAATCAATATAACGGATTAAATTTATTGTGTACAATTTCTCAAGCCATTGACCGAGGTCCTTCAGCCACTTTATTGAAACATGAAGGAAATGGAAATGGTGCAGGTATTTTCCGTAAAAAACACGATCAAAGAATTGTGGCTCATCATGAAACGAATTTGAAACAAAAAACTGAAGTAGACTGTGTTTAATCACTCAATAATATTGGTATTCGCCTAGCGTTACCATATGGTAACATCTGTTTTTGCTGCTATCAACAATAACTCCTAACATGGTTTCAACTACGCCAATAAATAGGTAGAATTCTGTAATATTTGAACAAATAATTCATTATCGAATCCGTGTCTTCCGGAACAAAATACGTGAGCACACAAAAATTCGGATCACATGATAAGGGCACATCCACTGAGAATCTCCAAAAAATTATTTGAATTCAAATACAAAAATATACCTATAATACTACAATAATGTTTCGAAATGCGTGAATACATACAATTTTTTTTCTATTATACAACAATTACAAATACCTGTTTTGTATCTGATTTGATAGACAGAAAAATGAAGGAAAAAATCACAAATTGATACCACAACAAGCTTTCTTATAACTTGAAACTTATGACAAATGTATAGAACCAATGACTGAACTTCTTTACTTCTTTCTATACTCATTAATTAATGCTGCATAAATCTTCCCCTAACTTTCCCGGTCTACTTACTCCAGTACTAAACCGTACAGGGTGTCTCCGTATATTTTGACCCCTACCTACAGCTTCAACTATACGAGGTGAAAAAAAAGAAATGCTATGGAAATAAAATGGGGCATTTTTTTGACATCTCTCTCAGTTTTTCAATCAAAATGGTTTATTCCGTAAAGCAAAAGTACGAAATAGTAAGATTCTATTATGAAAATATTGCAAGAATTTCAGTAGTGCAGCAAGAATTTAGTCGAAAACAGATTGAGGGAATATTACCAAAATATATATACGGGTGTTTCAAAAAAACCTAACCTCCTTGCTAGGGTGAGTAGAACATTGTAAAATAAGTTGGGTTTGCTTGGTAAAACAATGTCGTAACGCTATCCGTTTTCAAGATACAAGGTGTTGAAAAATATTTTTTTCACACATTTTTTACGATTATGTTGAAACTACTGGCAACATTGTAATGAAATTTTGTATGGATGTGTTTTGAGAGCTGACACATCGCATGAATATGTTTTTATATCTGACAATCATAGAGGGCGCTAGTTACACGGTTCGTACCGAGTACTTTTAAACATACCTTTTTTGAGGTTGGATTTCTCAGTCCAAATTTGATGTGAACTTGAACATCACTTAATTTTACACTAAAAAAGTGCTCCTGGTAAAACTTGATACTGTGTACCGTTTTCGGGATATTTCGATTTGAAAATGCTGAAATATAACACTGATGCTAGTTGAAAGTAAGTATTTTGAAAGACTGTTACCTATTTATTAATGACCACGTAAAGAGCTGCAAGAAAGAATTGAACATCACTTCGATGATCTCATAGCTGATCCTCAACCGTTGAGAAGATTGATGCATTCTTTAGAAAAAAGGATCGAATTGTGTATTCGTGAAAACATTTTGGGCACTTACTGTAACTAGATGGTGTTTTCAGTCAAATTTCGATAACTTCAGCAGTAAAATAATGTTAATGTTTTTGGTCCTTAATAAATATGTAATTGTTTTTTATAATACTTATCCTAATACCTACCAGAATCAGAGATGTTCAAAAGTACTCGGTACGAACCGTGTAACTAGCGCCCTCTATGTGTGTCAGATATAAAAACAAATTCATGCGGTGTGTCAGCTTTCAGAACACATCCATACAAAATTTCATCACAATGTTGCCAGTAGTTTCAACATAATCGTAAAAATGTGTGAAAAAAATATTTTTTCAACACCTTGTATCTTGAAAACGGATGCCGTTACGACATTTTTTTACTGAGCAAACGCAACTTATTTTGCAATGTTCTACCTACCCTAGCAAGGGGGTTAGGTTTTTTGAAACACCCTGTAAATTTAGAAGAAAGATATTTCACTTTGAGAAATATGATTTGCACTTTTAATATTTTGTTCATTCAAAGAGTGCCAAAAAGTAATTGAAATGAAACCCTACAACTTTAATATCTGAAGTTTCTTCCACCTCGTATAGTTGAAGCTTTAGGGTAAAATATTAGGAAACACCCTGTACTCACACAAATTCAAACATCATTGCCAACTTCAACCATATTTTTGCATTCATCCATAAAAACAACCACACCCCCCAAATCCCCTCTCCGACCACCTCAAATGTTCCACAACAGCAAATGGTTCGTCGAGTCCTCCCTGCCAGCCACCTCCGACAAATTGGACGTCCTGAAGTCCTCGTACCCGTCCCCCCCGGAAATGACCAGCACCTGAAAATTAGATTTTATAACAGAGTTCAAATACCTTGGTTTCATGTTAGATAACAACCTAACCTTTGGTGCACATTTGTTTTTTAGGGTTTTATTCAAATAGTTCACAATCTGATCTTAATTATTTTTAATTTAGTACGTTACTGTTTTCGATGCTATTTGAAAAATAATTCCAAATCAGCACGTGATGCTGGTCTCGGAACTTCTTAATCCTACACACATTCATTTCATTGTTACTATCCTAACCTGATCTTCATACACTTATGTTATTGTTAGAGATTCTTTTTGATAACTCAGTTTTAAATATTTTCATGTTATCGCGGCTGCGATGTATATATTTCTTTGGTACCTTGTCTCATAGGAATGGACTTCATGGTTTAATTTAATTCGTGAATTACACTTCTGTTCAGATTTTCAAACTTTGTATATGAATTCACCCTGTTCAATTTTCAATATTTCTGAGATTGGTAAAATGCCAGTTTGCTCATAAACCCGTTTTGTTGGTGTTCTGAATTCGATATTGAATAAAACTTTTACAATTTTATTCGTAGTTTTTCTGCTTCCTCAAATATTGTACGTCTACAAGCCCCATAAGGGAATCAAGTATCAAAAAATTGATGAAAAGTAAGCATTATAGATTTGAGTATATAGTTTGTGATCAAGATAGTCTCTACATCGATAGATCGCTCCGATCATCGGTACTACTTTATTTTCAATGTTGTCAATATATTGACTCCAATTCATTTTGTCTTCTACAACTAAGCCAAGATATTTTGTACTCTCAACTCTTTGTATCTTTTCTCCTCCAATTTTTATGTTTATCTCCTCGAAGTTCGTATTTTTTTGCATAACTACCATATAGGTTGTTTTTTTAGTATTTATTTTCAGTTTGTTTTTTGTTATCCAATAGTTATACAAATTTAGGTCAGAATTTATTCTCATCTCAAAATTTTCTTGATTTTCATTACTGTAGATTAAGACGGTGTCGTCTGCAAAGGTAAAGTATCTTCCAAGTAGTTCTACTTTTTCTAGGCTCCTAACATGTAGTGAGTACAGTAGAGGTCCTAATACCGACCCCTGCGGCACTTCACAATGTGTACTCATGACTTCGCTTCTAATAATGTCTATGCAAACGTATTGTTCCCGATAATATAGATATGTTTTCAAAAGTGTTAGTAAATTTCCACGTATTCCCATTTTTTCCAATTTTTCGAGTAAGATACTGTGATCTACTACATCGAAAGCCTTTTGTAAGTCAATAAATACCGCTACAACATTTTTTTTTTTTCATCTAGATTAGAGGAGACAAGATTAACAAAATCAATGGTAGCACTCATTTCAATTATATGTCGAAAAAAATAGCAAAAAAACTACTCACACGAATATCTACTAATCTGTCTACCGCTGCTAAGATCACCATTTATAATACCATACTACAACCACATTTTGATTATTGTAGCACTCTGCTTTATGGTTGTAACCAGAATAAAATTATGGCATTACGAAAACTGCAGAACCGAGGCATGAGGGTGATTCTTAGATGTAATCGCATCTCTTCCATGCTTGATACACTGAGTTGGTTATCGATAAAAGATAGACTTTACCGAACATCAATGATATTCATTTTTAAGATTATTAATAATATGCTACCAAACTACTTTAAGGAATTTATAATTTATCGAAATAGTACACATGCATATGAAACAAATCATAATGATAACTTCCACTTGCCAAGATGTAACTTATCGAACTCAATGAAAATATTAATGTATAAAAGTTTGAATCAAGTTACCACAAGAAGTGAAAAATGTCACAAATCTCCGTCAGTTTAAATCAAAACTAACTGCCTTTATCAAATCAAATGTCATAAGCTAGAATATAGATATGTAGATTGATATTATTATATTAGTACCTGAATGGTTGTCTCTGCAATTTTGATATTGTATGTATACCTATATTGAAATAAATTCATTCATTCACCTTCGTCCCGCCCCTCGCCTCCTGCTTCGCCTTGTACGAGTTCCGGTGAGCCGGTGCCTCACCGCCGCCCGGCATCTCGATCGACGTCAGGAAGCGCACGTGGCCCGTGTGGCCGTGCGGCACGCCCGTCAGGCCCGCGTGGCCCAGCAGAACGGCCGCGTGGCTCTGTGTAGTGCCTGTGTGGCCCTGAGGTGTTGCTGCGTGGCCCTGATTAGCGGCTGCGTGGCCTGTTACTGTCGGGATGCTGGTATTTTTGACTGTGGAGGGTATGTGGGGGAGGGGCATGGTGAGGAGGACGCCTGCTGAGGTCCCGATCCAGAGGAGGTCCTTGCAGGTGACCAGGGAGGTCACTCTGAGGCAGGCGGCTTTGTGCTGCCGGATGATGTCGTCGCAGCCTGCAAGTATTGTCGAATTTGAGTTGGGTATGACAGAAAGTAGTAATCTTCATTGTTACAGGATATATCCTAATCTTACAATAAATATAATACATAATGATAATTTAGAGCTCCACACAGTGCCAGAAATATTAATAAAATTCAAATCTGAATGTAGATAACATGATTAAAATCTGAAATTAAATAACACCAATCAAAATAAAGACGACAAAAAAGTACAAACGAAGATACATAATAAAAGATATAAAAAACATTGATATAATGAAATACACACATACTCATACATAATTTCAACCAACTAACATGCTAGATATTCCAAAAATCAACTCTTGAAACCTTTCACAGTATTTGCCTCTTTAATGGCATTTGGTAAATTATTAAATTCCCGTAGTCTCTTGAAAAATAAATTTTTCATGCCACCACCAGTATGAGTTCTATATATATGAAAATATGCATTTGAGCTTGTCTCGTGTTCATGTATTTGGTTATTGAAAACATAAAATTCATTAAAATATGTTGGTTGAAGACCTTTGGTTATTTTAAATATAAAACCATTGTTGAAAAAAAAATTATTTCACGTGTTGATAATTTCGTCAAGTGTCACTGGTGTCAGTGCCAAGTTGACTTTCATGGCCACTAGGTAGGATAATGAATTCGCGAACCATATAATTATCTCCATTACAGGAGCTATATAGTCGACGGAAACATTTTGTAACCAACTCGTATATTGATAAGCCGATCAAAGACCTCGATCGTTAATATCGCCATCATTGATTCACTAGTTGGTTAAACAAACTATTCATAGCCCAGCGAACATTATTTGATGGGCCAACACTATTTGAGCAATGCCATCCTAGTGAACATCATTAGCACACAATATATTATAGGGTATACAGGGAACTCTCCTGAGATGGCTCTCGTCCTATCTACACAATCGAAGTCAAGTTATGAACATAAATGGATACAGGTATGCACTTTTCGTGGCAACCACGGGAGTCCCGCGGGGTTCACATATGAGTCCGCTGTTGTTTATAGAGTTAATAACTGATATGAACAGCAGCCTCAGCCATTTGTAGATGCTGTGATTTGCTGTGATTTGAAAATATTAAAATAATCATAATTATTAGGGTCTACTCGAAGAAGAACATTTTTAGAGAAGGTGCAAAGATTAGCATGTTTCTGCATAACAGTTGCAATGAGATCGAGTACAACAGCAGCCCTAGAGGTCATTCTGGACCTCACACCTCTTCACATCATGGCGAGAAGAACTGCTTGGGTTCGGGCTCAAAAGAGAAGCACACAGTGCAAGGGATTCACTTCCCACTAGAAGTGCACACCTCGCCGACCTCCCAACTTATAAAATAATTAGGTTCAATTTTGAAAAAAAAATTTGAACGGAACGAAGTACCAAGAGGGGATTGAGCACATAATCCATCCAAGCACTGATGAAGAATACCGCAATATGGTATGAACTGGAGCAGGAGTATTTGGGCCTCCCACTAAATATAAATTCTGAATCGTTTTTAAAGCTCGACAAAAACTACCAGAACAAGGAAATCGCTTTCCTCTTCGAGCCATGCAGCCATCGAAGTTATGACCTCTTCTACTCAAAGATGGTTTGGGAATGTCTAGACAAACTTGACAACTTATTGGGAGGAACAACAAGGTTATTCTCTTCTGATGGGTGCCGGGGCACATTGGAGTAGAGGGAAATGAACAATAAGATATTCTGGCACGAAAAAAACATCAACACCACTGATCGGGTCAGAACCATTCTGCAGCCTTGGAAATTTTTATTTTCGAGAAAAACTGAATAAAGCTGGAGAAGCAATAAATAAGAACAAGACACTGGTACTTCCATTCAAGAATGAAGACACCGATTAACCTCAGCAAATTTAGTCCCAATACAATAACGGGTCATCGCAGAGGATGACAGCACCTGCAGATTATGCGGGGAAAATCCAGGAACTCTCCCACCACATCTTGCTGGAGTGTTATGCTGTACATCATAAAATATCGACTATACTGGTATCATTCCAGCAGACTGGGAGAAATACCGCGAACAAATCCCCTCGAAATCCTCAAATTCCTGGAAGAACTGAAGCTTGAGGGTCTGATATGAACATGTAAACCTTGAGATAGCAGAAGATGAGGCACAATCGATCTAATTAGGCCCCAGCGCAATTGTATCACCATCCACACTCCAATACCAATATGCTGGTGCTTTGAAAACATTCAGAAGTGTTGTCAATTAGGGACTACTCGAAGATATAAGAAGATCTAAATAGGTTCGCTGAATATTGAAACCGTAACAAAGTGAAACTAAACGTCAACAATCGTGCATGCATATCTTTCTGAGGTGACGTCACCGTGGAGCGTGCAGGCCTCATTGTATCGGTGATAATCTCGTTTTTAATATTTTTTTCTGAATGAATATTCAAGCTAAGTATCAACCTGATCGGAAGGCAGATATCGAAGAGACGGCGCCGCGTTTATCTCGCAAACGAGATCGAACATGACCGTATGGTAACACCTAACCGCAGCAGAATTTCGCAGCGTCAGCCACACACTGTTTTATCTATAAATAGTGGTTTGTTCACATTTTGATTATGAAAATCGTGTTTTTCTGACAAAAATAGGTGAGTATATCGCTCAAGTGCAAAATTACCAACAATTGCAATAGTCACTCGTCAACATCTTCGTCACAGGAGGCGTCACGTTATTCTCGCCAACGAGATCGGAAGTGACCGTATGGTAACACCTAACCACAGCAGAATTATGCAGCGTCAGCCACACCTCTTTTTATCTCGATAAATAGTGGTTTGTTCACATTTTGACTATGAAATTCGTGTTTTTCTGACAAAAATACGTCAATATATCGCATAAGTGCAAAATTACCAACAATTCTTGCAATACTCACTCGTCAACATCTTCGTAACAGGAGGCGCCATGTTATTCTCGCAAACGAGATCGAACGTGACCGTATGGTGACACCTAACCACAGCAGAATTTTGCAGCGTCAGCCACAGCCCGCAAATCTCGATAAATCGTGGTTTGTTCACATTTTAATTATGAAATTCGTGTTTTTCTGACAAAAATACGTGAGTATATCGCATAAGTGCAAAATTACCGACAATTCTTGCAATACTCACTCGTCAACATCTTCGTATAACGGGAGGTGCCACGTTATTCTCGCAAACTTACCACGTATTACCATCCCCGTGATGACATTGTCTCTCATAGTTTTTTCTAAATGAGTATTCAGCCCAAGTAATAACCTGATCAAAAAGAAGGTATCGACAATTCTCGTATACTCACTCGTCAACATCTTCGTGACAGAAGGCGCCACGTTCACCTCGCAAACGAGATCGAACGTGACCGTATGGTAACACCTGACCACAGCAGAATTTTGCAGCGACAGCCACACCCCGTTGCCGCATATCACCATCCCCGTGATCACCTTGTCGTTGACGCTGAAACAGTTGTCTGCCGTCAAGGTGTCGGTGTTGAACTTCTTGACGTTGCTGCCGCATGCGCACCACAGGCTGCCCATGCTGGGAACGAGTTTGGTGACGGGGGAGGTGGCGGAGCCTACTGTGCACGTGGTCGGGGTGCTGATGTTCCAGCCTCCTGCTGGAGATCAGAATGATTACGATAATTATTTTGGGAGAAGAAATTGCGAAAAAACGATTTCACAAATGATTTGCACAAAAATCTTTGATAAACGAGAGAAATTCTCGTACAATTAATTACCCTAACATTGATTTGCCTGACTTATGACCCACTTAAGACCGGACCACCCTTATGCAGTCTAGTTTTCAATTAATTCAGTTATTTTCTCCAGCAGAAATAAGAGTAGGTATCAAAAGATATATATCTATACTTTCACAAAATTTGCCACTATTCCAATTTCCAGGGCATACTATGTTTTTTTTTATGTTGAAAATTTCGAAATATTAGCGATGTTTCTCAATAAAATTCGACTCTACCCCGGGATAACCCATAAATTCTTCTTGACAGGCAACAAAGTTATAACAACATTGATTTTTCTAACCTACCATTTTTTATGAGTATTTCAGACAAATTCTGAGAAGCGGCAACATCATTAACACAAATGTAGGAAATCATTTCGAATTCATAACACAAATTGATCTCGAGTTGTGTAACATCTAGCTACTTCTAGAGTGAGTACATTAAATAGAGTGATGACGGCAATAGACCTTCAAATGGCTGCCGTTTCCGTAATGTCATACGTGCTGAAGTCAATGAATATCTATAAAAATCTGAAGGGTATCTGAATTTGCGCCCTCGCAATCTAAGACTTACAAGTCCTAAAAGGCGGATTCTAATAGTTAATATCCTAGGTATTGGCTTATAGAGTTTCTTGTCTGATTGTTGGATGTTTTGTGTCCAAAGAGCGGAAAAACAGAGACAAAGCATTGAAAGTGAAATAGAATGCGTAGAACTGAATGGAGAAAACAAGCCAGGAGGTGGATGCAGCTCCCATGGAGGTCTGACCAATCAAAAAGAGTACTACTATTGTCGTCACTCAAAGTCACTGTAGCTACTCTTAGCCTGCTCTGAGGCAATTCCTTCAATTTTGTGAGTATATTAGACAAGCCAACGGTAGGTTAATTCATTAGCATTAGAGTATTTCAGTTGAAGAAGCTACTGATGTTGTTAGCAAATCGTATCATTAGTGAGTTTTTAACATATGATAGTATAATCGAAAAGTATAAGAATAATACTACTAAGTGTAGCGAATTAAGGGCTAGAGTTCAGTTATATTCTTAGAGCAAAATAGTTCTTTCATTCTGGTCAAACCTAAACCTATAAGCAACTAAAATATAAACAGCTTAAAACATGTATATTCAAGTGGGAAAGGGAAAAAAGTAAATAAGAAATTAAGAACAGAGATAGGCTAGAGATTGTCATTATTCACACTTCTAGATAGAAATAATACAAGGTTAAAAATTTCTAATGTAAAAAAAATAATGGAAATTATGTCAAGAAGAAACAATGAAATCAAAATACCTGTCAACGGATAAAAACATTGTTGGACATAATATACTACTTATATTCATCACGAAAAATCATGGGTAGGTATATCAAGTGATGTTGAGATTCATGTTATTTGATGAGTATTTTTTGCAGCAAAAATAAGGAAACCCAGTTTGGTCAACGAGTTTGTACCCTGGTCCACAAATAGTATATTTTGTTAGCGACGTTATTCAAATCACCCCGTAAAGAAGAACGCCTAAGAAATGCCTTATCACAAGCGGCCTCGACGACTCATCGGTATTCGTAATCATCGTGTGATCGAAGATTGAAGCAGGTTTAGTCATTAGCATCGTAGCATCAGAACGAATCACTTTTCGATGTTGTCAATTTATAAACGGTCATTTTTGTACAAGCCGCGTCCTGAGTGAATCAAAATGTGTTTGAGTGTTGAAATTGTGTCTATCCACGATGATTCCATTAAGAAGCTTACATCAGAAGTGGGATTCACCCATTTCTACATTACGTCGATGAAATATGAAGACTTTGTTAGCCGATGTCTCGAAGAAGATCAAATCCACCCCAAATCCAAACCTTATCAGAATATTGCAAGGAATTGGTTACGGCCGAGGTTACGGCATTCACTTGACAAAATAATATTCGAATAATAAAATTCGGAAGTATCGGTAAGAGTGGAACAATAACTATCCTATGAGTCATATATAAACATGAGGTACACACACATGTGTACCTCATGCATGATATCAGAATTCCTATGGAATGGAATTTACATGGAAACTGTTTGAATTTCGTTTAACGAATATGCAATTTCAGATTATTAGTTATGATGTATGTTACATAATATATCCATCAGAACGAATCACTTGTCGATGTTGTATTTTTATAAACGGTCATCATTGTACAAGCAGTCCTGAGTGAATAAAACTGTGTTTGAGTGTTGAAATTGTGCGTCTATCTACGATGCCTCCATTTAGAATCTTATAATATAGTTTTTCTGCGAGCGAATGCACATGCATCCATATAAATGTACTGCGCATCAACAAACGGAAGGAAAATGCTTCAGTTTTACGTTAAATTGAACTTGAGCATACCATTTATGATCGGCTTGGAAAATTTGGCGAATGAGTATGCGCAGTGCGTTTTCGTTCTGGGCCGGCCTTGGAAAATTACATACACATATCATATAAGTAACATCGCTGTTCATACAGCAGAGTACTAGCAGAAATACACATTATGCACACGAGTATAGACATCATGTTTTAACAAGACATCAGCAACACTTCAAAAACAGAGATCAATGACGTGCAATACTGACGTGGATAAATACTGCGCAGAGGCCTCAACCAATTAAAATACTCGTCTGTTGATCGTATAACTTCTTTGCGCATCCTCATGTAATGTCTTTTTGTTTGTTATTCACAGGTCAGTATATATGGTATCACGTGATTAATTTTATTGTGACCAATGAGACGGAAATGCCTCGTAAAACTTTAGGTTCTAGTGAATTGATTGTCCCATTGACAGTAACGAGTGATATGATACTATAGCGAGTTGATGCTAATGATAACAATGACATTCTGAGGCTAAAAGTGCAGATTGGTTATAATCTCCGCGTGTTGTCTTTGATAATCTCAACATTATGAATTTGCCCATTGCCCACACTCACGTATGAGCATATAATATATATACAGGGTGCCCGTTTTTCGAGCTCCACCATGGGGATCTCAGTTATTATAAGAGATACGAGGTCGGTTAAATTAGGGCAAAGTTGCGCATTTTCATGGAAATTTCCTGTTGATCAAAATTGGGAAAAACCATTCTTGCGAAGAGTGCTTTGGAAGAAACGCCAACAGTTTTGTTTAACAAACTGAGTTTTGACATTTCCATTGCATATGAATTTACGTTTTCTTCCAATAATACGAAAACTAAAAATGACACATCAAATTTTCTGGCAGATAACTGTTCACCATGAAAATGCGCGACTATGCCCTAATTTAACCGACCTCGTATCTCTTATAACAACTGAGATCCCCATGGTAGAGCTCGAAAAACGGACACCCTGTATAATATATAAGTATTATTATAGTCTCTGCAAAGTCACTTGAGACAAATTCAGTAAAAAAAAAATAGCGCCGGCGGCACGCGGTCCATGTTAACTTTTTGGAGGAACCGGTGGTCGTTATGGCAGATCTCTTCTGATCAAGCTGTCTCAAGTGACTTTGCAAATACTATATAATTTCTACTTCAAAAAGAAACTAGAAATATTGTATGAACTAAAAATGTCACCTGCCTAACCCTTCCTATAGGAAGACAATTTCCTATCGTTAATTTCCTGGGAATCAATATATTTCCATTATTTGACATCCCCAACGACCTAATTTGCTTCTAGGTAGGTATATCCTTCAAGAGGGAGTTTTCAGAAGTTTCGATCGTATTATTCAAGCAAAATCCATTGAACTTTATTTATATTTGATGAGGTATTCGTTACTAATTTCTACTTCCCCATGGAATTGAACAATCATTATTCTACTATAATTTTTCCTAACAATACAATTGTTTTGTATTGAATGCATACACTGCGACCTAAAAGATCTACAATACATGTAGGTATGCTATTTTTCTTGAGACTTCATATAATGAAGACACTTTTATATTGACGCCGATCAAAATATGTTTAAAAACAAACTTAAACTTGGATCCATTTTGTGTAACGTTGAGAAAATATTTGAGTTTCTGACATTCACATAGAGACATCAAATGCTCAATAAAATTTCAAAAATAGCTTTTGTCATTTCCATCATAATCAATATCAAAAACGACTGGTGATCTTGAAACCAAAATACTGCTCAAGTTCTTCCAAATTGAATGCTCCCAAATCACTCGAATCAGGTCATAAAATGCTAATGAGGTGGACCCTTGTGTAGATCGACATTGTGCCTAAACGATGAAAAGTACATGGGCTTAAACAAAATATACCACCATAACTCAAGAGTCGTCACGATTTATTTGGACAGCAGTGTACCTATACTAACGAAAAAATAATAGGATATAAGATATTGAATGAAGGTTCTACTCACCATTATCTCTGTGATACACAGTAATGTCCCCGTTTGCAAGCGCAGCAAAAACTCTGTTATCCAAATATCTGCAATATAAAATCACAGTACCTGATCAAAGAATGACATCGAATGAAAATGGAAACTGACTAACAAATGATAAGCGTTTCTTACATAATTGAGAATATCGCAGTCCCTAGTTGAATCTTCACTTTGTTCTTTTTTATCCTAATATTATCACAACAATTATACACATGTATGCAACCATCTTCAGTGCCCAGCCACATCGTCGACTGCTGGTTATCTGTATCCTCACTATCTTCCATACATGTTTCGAAGTCGAACACCCTTTGGGATTCTTCGTTCATTTCATTATCACAATTATCCTCGTCCTCACTGGACGAGCTACTATCGAAATGCATGGATTTTGGTCTGTCCACTTCCTCCTTCTCTTGGCAGCATCTCCCCGGAGATCTGAAACATCCATGATGAGTTAATACTTCATAACACAGAAACATTTTTCAGTATAATTAACCATCAAGAATATTTTGAACAATTAACATGAAGATACAGCCCAGATAGCACCAATATACTCAGAATATTCTTACAAGCTGCGGAAAAGTCATATTGTAGAATATTCTGAGGAATATTCATATATAATGTTCTTAGAATGTATTTACGGAATGTTCCATGCGAATTTTCTGATACTATTATGAAAGTACATTCCTAGAATCTCCTGAGATATAATATTTCGGAATGTTCATGAAATAATATTTCCAGAATATAGTGAACATTCATGGAATATTACTTGCGGATATTCTGATGATATTCTAAAAATACCCAGGAGAGAGTCAACATTTTTGCGCATTTATTTGCTGGAGATTTCACTCTGGGTTCATCGGCAAAATAACCTCCAAACATAACGCCAATTGACAGTCATATGCCCGAGATCACCTTTCGCCAACGTACTATAAGGAAGATTTTATTGGGTCTCAACACCAACAAAGTTTGTGGCTCCGACGGAATCCCACCAATTGTTCTCAAGAAATGTGCCCCCGAACTAACACCTGTTCTCTGCAAGTTGTTCAACTACTCTTACAAATTGGGGATAGTCCCGTCCAACTGGAAAATTGCAAGAGTACAACCAGTTCCTAAAAAAGGCAAGAAGACCCAACCTAGCAACTACAGACCGATCGCACTGCTATCTATTATTTCAAAGATCATGGAGAAAGCTATCAACATCGAGCTCATGAAATACCTGGAACATTCAGGTATTATCAACGATAGGCAATATGGCTTCCGTCATCAGAGATCGACTGGTGACCTGCCCGCTTACGTCTCACATATATGGCAGCAATCTATTGAAAGATATTGTGAAACCTTAGCCGTGATACTTGATATATCTCGAAGGCATTCGATCGAGTCTGGCACCACGGACACCTCGCCAAGCTTCCATCTTATGGCTTGCCTCCCCAGGTATGTTCTCTGCTAGCTAGTTTTCTCTCAAACAGGTCTCTCCATGCAGTGGTCGACGGAGTTTCAGCTGACTCTCTTATCATACACTATTTCTACTCCATATCAACGATTTGTTGGAAACAAATTCATGTCTAGTACACAGCTTCGCGGATGATAGTACCCTCCATACCACCTTCTCTTCCAGGGCTCCAATACCAGCCAGGCAAATCAGAAACGAACGAGGGAGAAACGTCGACAACTAGGGACTTGTGCCTGTACGGGCCAAGATCCACACAGGACACTTACACCTCGACATAGTAAAAGCCTCAGGATACTTCACTGGAGATGGGCAAGCACCGCCAGAAGAGGTACAGAGGCTATCCGATTACTGCAGCAGGAGCAGACTACCCCTCCTGCCGTGCGCTGCGGTGCCAATGCCCATAACACCAAGGAAGTACGGAAGTACGGACTCCAATCAAAGGGGTGAGCAACTGCTAGAATTCATACTTGCGGCTATCTCAAGTATACTGAATGTGGGGTCTACCCCCACCTTTGTAACTAGGGCTAGACAAGAAGTATTAGATATAACGCTCGGCAGCCCGAGCATTAGTAGAAGGGTTAGGAATTAGAAGGTCTCAGACGAACCATCCCTATCTGACCACAGAATCATAATGCTCAATGTAGAAGGGCTTGTGACAGAAACCACCTTCATTAGAAATCCTAGAAACACAGACTGGGAAAAATACACCACCAATCTTAAATGTAATTTAGAACAAATCAAGTTCAATGGCAAAAGTCACGTCGAATTTGAGCAGACATTTAAAGCAGTCAATGGGGCAATCATGGATGCATACGAATCCAGCTGCCCCATTAGAGAAAAGAAATCACACAGTGGTACCATTTGGTGGAACGAACACCTGTCAAATCTAAGAACTGGAGCAGGAGTCTTTGGGCCTCGCACCAAATACTTCGAATCCATGGGACAATTCCCCAGCATCTTTCAAGCGGAAATACACGCCATAGGAAGATGCATCCAGTTCAACCTAGACAGGAAATACCGGAAGAAGGACATCGCGATTTTATCCGATAGCCAAGCAGCCATCAAAGCGTTGAGCTCTCCTTACATCAACTCGAAGATGGTATGGGAATGCCTAAGCAAATTGAATGAGCTAGGCAGCAACAATAAAGTGATCCTCCTCTGGGTGCCAGGGCATATTGGAGTGGAGGGGAAGGAACAAGCAGACACTCTGGCACGACAAGGGGCTTCAACGCCACTGATCCGACCAGAGCCATTCTGCGGCCTTGGAAATTCCTATTTCCAAAGAGAACTTGAGAAGGCGGAAGGAGCCTGGAGAGCCAGACAATGGAGAAGACTTCCAGGACTACGGCAGGCTAAAGATCTCCTTGGAAATTCCAACCGAGAAAGATCAAATACACTGACAAACCTCAGCAAAGGAAGTCTCAAAGCAATAACGGGATTTCCAACGGGGCATTGCAGACTCAAAGAACACCTAAGGAAGCTAGGCTTACAGGAGGACGGCACCTGCAGATTCTGTGAGGAAGAACAAGAAACACCCCATCACATACTGATGGAGTGTGACGCTGTACATCACAAAAGATTGAACATACTGGGAACACACCAGCTGACTGTGGAAGAAATACCACAGCTAGACCCCCTCAAAATCCTCAAATTCCTGAAGGAATTGAATCTCGAGGGGCTGCTATGAACAAGAAATCCTTGATATAGCAGAAGCAGATAGGGCACAATAGATCTAATTAGGTCGCAGCGCATCTGTCACCATCCATCCTACCAATACCAATACCAATACCAGGATAAGTATGATAATTTCCATTTGTTTCGAACAACAAGGCAAGTCGTTTATAAATAATGTAAAAAGCAAAGGCCCCAAATTGCTACCTTGAGGCACACCCGAGGTAGCAATAAAGGTGTCTGAGAAAGTATATCCTAGTTTTACCTGTTGTGGTCTACATGAAAGATACGATTTCATTAATTTGTACGAGTTCTCTGACACATTGTACTTGATGAGTTTATTTAAAAGTATTTGATGATCCAACATGTCGAATGCTAGCCAATGTCCATTCAAGGGTATTACAAATGGTTTAAGAAAGCGATTTCAATAAATATAGAATGGAGAGAATCCTGTTGTAATAATAATTTTTTTTTATCGCTTGGAGCGCACGAAAGGGAATCCCTATAATGTTCAAAGAACATCGTGCGTTCCTAGGGAGGATAGGGACAGGAGGTAGGTATTGGAATTTTTTTTGAACTTTTGGAGATTATGTATTGTTGGGAATACTTCCACAGGCAATGAATTCCAGAGCCTAGCCGTTCTATGGATGAAGGAGTCTTGATCAGGAATAGGAGATTTCTTTATAATGGTTATTACAATCAGAGCTGGTAGATATTTTTAATATTCAGTTTCTCTCAGTGTATAATCTACCCTATCTGAGCTATATTCAAAGATGATCCAGTGGTCTTATCCCAATAGGAAGCCAAGGATCGTGACAATATTCACTCCCCCATTGTCGATTCCGGGCACGGCCGCGATACAGAGGATCATCGCGTTGCACACCCCGTTGCAGGAGGTGCATAGTACATTCTGCGATGTCATTATGACGTCTGAATATGACGTCTTATGACTGTGAGATTTTGACGTCATTATAGCGTCTCTCAGGCGTCATTGCAGGACGACCACTTCATCATTTTATGACCAAAAAATTACGTCAATCTGCTACCTGGGATATTCACTCACCCATGGTCGATTCCGGGCACGGCCGCGAAACAGAAGATCCTCGCGTTGCACACCCCGTTGCAGAAGATGCATAGGTCATTCTGCGATGTCATTATGACGTCTGAATATGACGTCTTATGACTGTGGCATTTTGACGTCATTATAGGGTCTCTCAGACGTCATTGCAGGACGTCCACTTCGTCATTTTATGACCAAAAAATGACGTCAAATGGACGTCACTCTGCTACCTGGGATATTCACTCACCCGTTGTCGATTCCGGGCACGGCCGCGATACAGAGGTTTCTCGCGTTGCACACTTCGTTGCAGGAGATGCATAGGTTATTCTGCGATGTCATTAAGACGTCTGAATATGACGTTTTATGACTGTGACATTTTGACGTCATTACAGGGTCTCTCAGACGCCATTGCAGGACGTCCACTATGTCATTTTATGACCAAAAAATGACGTGAATAGGACGTCACTCTGCTACCTGGGATATTCACTCACCCGTTGTCGATTCCGGGCACAGCGGCGATACAGAGGGTCCTCGCCTTGCACACTTTATTGCAGGAGATGCATAGGTCATTCTACGACGTTATTTTGACGTCTGAATATGACGTCTTATGGCCGTGACATTTTGACGTCATTATAGTGTCTCTCAGACGTCATTGCAGGACGTCCACTATGTCATTTTATGAACAAAAAATGACGTCAATTGGACGTCACTCTGCTACCTGGGATATTCACTCACCCATTGTCGATTCCGGGCACGGCCGCGATATAGAGGATCCTTGCGTTGCACACCTCGTTGCAGGAGATGCATAGGTCATTCTGCGATGTCATTATGACGTCTGTATATGACGTCTTGTGACTGTGACATTTTGACGTCATTATAGGGTCTCTCAGACGTCATTGCAGGACATCCACTTCGTCATTTTATGACCAAAAAATCAAGTCAATTGGACGTCACTCTGCTACCTGGGATATTCACTCACCCGTTGTCGATTCCGGGCACGGCCGCGATACAGAGGATTCTCGCGGTGCACACTTCGTTGCAGGAAATGCATAGGTCATTCTGCGATGTCGTCCACTATGTCATTTTATGACCAAAAAATGACGTCAATTGGACGTCACTCTGTTACCTGGGATATTCACTCACGCATTGTCGATTCCGGGCACGGCCGCGATACAGAGGATCCTCGCGTTGCACACCTCGTTGCAGGAGATGCATAGGTCATTATGACGTCTGAATATGACGTCGACTGTGACATTTTGACGTCATTATAGGGTCTCTCAGACATCATTGCAGGACGTTCACTTCCTCATTTTATGACCAAAAAATGACGTCAATTCGACGTTACTCTGCTACATGGGATATTCACTCACCCGTTGTTGATTCCGAGCATAGCGGCGATACAGAGGATCCTCGCGTTGCACACCTCGTTGCAGGAGATGCATAGGTCATTCTACGATGTCATTATGACGTCTGTATATGACGTCTTGTGACTGTGACATTTTGACGTCATTATAGGGTCTCTCAGACGTCATTGCAGGACGTCCACTTCGTCATTTTATGACCAAAAAATGACGTCGATTGGACGTCACTCTGGTACCTGGGATATTCACTCACCTGTTGTCGATTACGGGCACGGCGGCGATACAGAGGATCCTCGCGTTGCAGAAAATGCATAAGTGATTCTGCGATGTCATTATGACGTCTGAATATGACGTCTTATGGCCGTGACATTTTGACGTCATTATAGGGTCTCTCAGACGTCATTGCAGGACGTCCACAATGTCATTTTATGACCAAAAAATGACGTCAATTGGACGTCACTCTACTACCTGGGATATTCACTCACCCATTGTCGATTCCATGCACGGCCGCGATACAGAGGATCCTCGCGTTTTTGCCAAAAAAATGACGTCAATTGGACGTCACTCTGCTACCTGGGATATTCACTCACCCGTTGTCGATTCCGGGCACGGCGGCGATACAGAGGATCCTCGCGTTGCACACCCCGTTGCAGGAGATGACGGTCGGCTCCGGCTCGGGCGCCAGGCTGAGCACGCACACCTGGCCCACGTAGCCGTCGCTGTTGCACACCCACACGTCGCGGCCGGCCTCGGCCAAAGTGGGCGCGGCGCACGTGAACTGGAGGCCTGCGCGCGTCTTACGTATCGGCACCGCGGCCAGCAGCTCAGGGCACGGCCGTCTGTCGGTGGTCAGAGCTGGAAATAATAATAATAATACACTCACCGGCAAATAATCGATCAGCTCAAAATATAGATGAAACTCAATCAACGATAACTTCGTTAATTCATGTCTGATTCGTTCAAATTTTTTTATTCCGTAGGTAAATTCATAAACCCAGCTAGCACACACACGTCAATTTCACGTCATATATGCGTCACCAATAACGTCGAAATGACCAAATTATCGACGTGAAAGAGACGTAAATGTGACGTCAATATGTCACAGCGAAACGACGTCATTCATCGACGTCGTCACGACGTCAGATAGCGACGTCCTCTACACGTCGAATAGTTACCAAGTAGGTCCAGGTTTTGACATCACCAAGAAACTGTGAAACTCTAAATCACTTTCTCATGATCCTAATCCTTGTTGATTGGCAAAACAGTTCAAATGATCTAGTTACAATAGTTGTGGATATTTTTTATTTGTTTACATAATTATAGGTGCATAGGTATTCTTCATCTGAATAAAACTAATAAGCATAAAATCCACTATATTCCATAGTATATGGACATAAACGAAGATGTCAAGTTTCAAAGGAATCTGAACCTAATAACCTCAAATTATTCTTGTACCTACGATTTAAGGTATTTATAGATTACCTTCTTCAAATAACGACCTCACTACATCCAAGTTTCATTAGTAGATTTCGCTTTCTCAATTATTGACCTGTTGAAAAAGTCTTGCTGTTTGAAAGGCGGCAACTACACTTTGAAGCCTTACGAGGCTTCATGGCGTCAACTACTTCCACTGAACGAGAGCAATGCCTTTCCTCGGAATATTGTATTCCACCAAACATTCCTATTGCCTGGAATTGATGAAATAACCAGCGAACTGCAATATATTGCTGAACCCACTTTTCCATAGTATCCTTGTTTTCCATGACCCGAAATCACGAATCCGCCATTACAACATTCGATGAACTGGATCACGCATGCGCATGATTACGACAAACTGTGCTACGATCGACGATGTCCGATAGGGGTAGCGGTGGTATTGTGCGAAACGAAGACACACGAAGCCACGGAGCACGGATTGACCAATCATATAAGCATCTGTATGTCTTGATCTTCCGTATCTGTTACCAAGTTATCTCTTTCAGGGTGTTTTTTATTAATATTTGTTCTACATATTTCACCACTTAGTTTTATCCATGTCGGGTATACGTGAATCCTCTTTAATAAGGTAGGTACCTATTTTATTTTGATAAGCGTTCAATCATGAGTCCTGGATATGCAGTTCATGGAGTAATTTTTCCGAAATGAAACAAAATGATTGGTGCAGATGTTATGTCTAAATGACGTCTATCAGATACGTTTTTGGAACACGTCAAAATGACGTCAATTATTGGTCGAATCTTGACGACGACCAATTGCCACCTATTATCCACGTCGATTCGATGAGAATTGACGTCACCCTGCTGGCTGGGAAGAAACACACATAATATTGAGATTTTAAGAAATGAGGCATATCTTCAAATTATACAGAGTGACAAAGAAAGTGCATTTTTACTTCAATTTTAAAACAATTTCTAGAGTGGTTATGCTGGTACAGGGTCTTTCCGTAGATTTAAACAGCTTCTACAGGGTTCATCATGCATTGAAGATAGAGAAAAATTTTGAATTCAAAAGTTGTAGAGTTTGTTCTGAACTTTTAGAAAACTATACCAGATGAAACAAATTAATATCGCTGATATAAGAAATGGGTACCAACTTCGTTATTTTCAATGAAACAATCTATATATTTTTCAAAAAAATTCAAGATCATTTCTTCCTGATTCCAAAAATACATTGGTCATTGATATTTGGTGCCGTTTTCGAGATATTAGAAAATGGGGTCCTCACATTGAAAAATTATGCAGAAAATTGTCCTGTCAATTATTCCTGATACGTCAACTTAAGAAGATTTTGAGTAAAGAAGTATTGTTAACGTCTTACTTTTCACTCTTTCATGCCCATCTGAACTATGGAACGTTGCTTTGGGGAAACCCAACTAAATCTGTGAAAGCATTTATTCTACAAAAAAAGGCAATTAGAACCTTGGCTAACCTGCGGTACACAGATCACTGTAAGCCATATTTCAAACTCTTCCGAATAATGCCACTCCCATGCTTATATATTTTCAGCTCTCTACTTGAAATTCACAAAAATCAGAATACATTCGAGTCACATGCCGACTATCACGACTATAATACAAGAAATGGTAAACTGTTGAAGGCGCCAAAGTTCAAACTTAGGGTGACTTCTAACAATTCTTTAGATTTTCGACTCTTCAACAAACTACCAACAAATGTAAAAAACCTAAGCTGTCAGCGATTCAAAAAGGTATTGAAAGAGTATCTACTTTCACACTGTTTCTACTCTGTTGCCGACTACATGGAGGCACCACTAGATTTTTTCGATAGTCACAATCTTATATCGTGAACAAATTATTTACTGTGTTTTTTATTATGTATATTTTAATATTTGTCGTGACTGTGGATACCATTATACTTTGTGTGTTATCATTATTTAAATTTTTATCTGTAGTCTTATACTGTTCGTTTGTCACTATTAGTTGAAAATATTTGTTTTTTACCTATCTATCTTCACATGACTTGCTACAAACATTACCTCTATGTATAAGTAGTCAAATAAACGTTATCTATCTATCTATCTATCTATTCGAGGTTGAACATTTTAGATTTTACCAAATCGCAACTGCAATGAAAGAAAAAAAAACGCACTTTTATAACTGAAGGAGATGCAATTTCACAGATGTTCGATGTGACAACCGTTGTTTTGTATACATTTTCTGTAGTCTTTAACCAATTTATTTATAGAATTGCAAATTAAGTTGGAGTAATGATTGTTCAATATGTTAATGCATTCCAAAATTCTTCCTCTCAAAGCAGCCGAATTTCTACTTCTTTCCTTTTACACTTCATTTTTCAAATAGCCCCATAGGAAGTTATCAAAAGGTGTTGAATCTGGACTGTTCGGCGGCCATTCCACTGTTCCGATCCACGTATGATAACTATCATTCAAGTGATGCCGTACGGGCACTTGGCTTTTCAAAATACCACACCATACATTGAGGGATTTGCGACCCTGGTGCTGAATCTCGTCGTATCCATGTGGATTATGAGTTCACCAGATATGGGTGTTTTTTCGATTATAAACACCGGCGGTGGTAAACGATGCCTCGTCAGTCCATAAAACCTCGAAAAAAAACATTATCCTCGTCTTTTCTCAGCATCATTTCTTTGCAATATGCTTGTCTTGCAATTTCATGATTGTCTGTATAAGCTTTTGCACTGGCATGATTTCAAAAGGGTGATATCCGTGTTCATGTAGGACAGTTAAATTTTTTTTTGTACTTTTCCAGGATGAATGCGTTGATACTCCGCTCGAGTTTCCACTGCATTATTATTATTTTTGTAGAATAAACGAATCATTTCAAATTTTCCATCTTCACTGAAACCCATATTTCTTCCGAAATTCTATGCAATGAACATATGACACTTTGCGTATGTGTTGTATTTTCTTCATGGCAATTGCGATTTGGTGAAATTCAAATTCAAACTAAATCTAAAATGTTCAACCTCGAATATCTCGAAAACGGCTGAACCAAATATCAATGACCAATATATTTTTGGAATCAGGAAGAAATGATATTGAATTTTTTCGAAAAATATATAGGGTGTTCCATTGAAAATAACGAAGTTGGTGCCCATTTCTTATATCAGCGATATTAATTTGTTTTATCTGGTATAATTTTCTGAAGGTTCAGAACAAACCCTACAACTTTTGCATTCGACGTTTTTCTCTACATCCTCTAATTTTTCATTTAATCATCGAGCTACGTTTATTACGTACGTTTTCATTTTTTTATTTGTTACGATAACTGCTTTTTTGTGAAAGTTACAAGGGTTTCAAAAAAACGTTTCAAATTAAGCAATGATGAACATAACCGACGTAACGAATGAAACCTGAAAATCATTTGAAAAATGCTAATGAACTCAGTACGATGTGTTTCCCCCACGTGCACGAATAACTGCTGCTATTCGTCTTGGCATGCTCATTATCAGATTTTGAATATACACCTGATCGATTTGCTGCCATGCTTCAATTAACACTTCACTGAGTTGCTGTAAATTCGCAGGAGCTGGTAAACGAGATCGTACTTTTCTCCCGAGAACATCCCAAACATGTTCAATTGGGTTCAAGTCGGGGCTTCGAGGAGGCCAATGCATTACTGGGAGTTCAACATCGGATAAATACTCATTCACAATCCTTGCAACAGGCGGTCGGGCATTGTCATGCATAAGCATGAAATCGTCTCCGATGAACGGCGCAAATGGAACAACATGTAGTTCTGAAACGTCTCTCATATAGGTACCTATCAGCTGTCATGGATCCCCTTTCCACTATGACTAAGTCCGTCTTAGCTTCAAAACTCACGCCACCCCACACCATTTATCGAACCGCCTCCGTAGCTCACTCTTGGCGAAAAATGGTTTTAGAGAAAACGTTCTCCAGTTCTTCTGTAAATTCTTTCACGTCCATCCGGTGATCTGAGACAAAACCTCGACTAGTCGGTGGATAGGATATTGCTCCATTGTTCATTACCCCAATATTCGTGTTCACTAGCATATCTGAGGCGATTAACTCGATGATTCCTCAATAACTCTGGACCAGTTGCAGGTCTTGCTCGGGGTCCAATATCGAAAAGCCTCCTTCTTATTGTTCTATCGCTGACTTGAACTTGCCTCACCTCCTCAAATTCGTTTTTCAATTGGACAGAAGTAAGTCTTCTGTCCCTCAAAACTTTGAGCGTTATGAAGCGGTTATCTCGATCATTCGTAGATTTTTTCCGACCACTATTACCTCTTCTTGTGAATACACCAAATTCACGAAACCGTTTCACAGCCCTTCGCACCCTGTATCTTGAAACTCCCAAAGCTCCACATCACAAAGATCCATATCTTATTCAA